CCCGCAAAAGCCCGAAACAGGCATCCAGCCAAGTCCTTGGCGTGGGAATCGAGTAAATATTAAGGTTAAAAAGATCAGAAGGGGTGGTAAGGGTTCATCTGTCCACAGTTTTTATAACTCAAATCGGAATCTGTTTTGGCACTTTCCAGGCTAGTAAAATCGGATAGCTATGCTTTCAACTTGGGGCTGCGAAAGGCTTGTTTCGATCTGCCACCATACATGGTCTTTAGTAGCGAAGTTGCTTGATGTTCGAGAACGGAGTCAATGTTCGCACTTTTCAAGGTGGTAAAAGCATGAATCCTGAATAGTAGGGCGTGTCCTGTTTAGCCCCCTGGCTGCCGTGTCCTGATTAAATTGGTTTTTTATTTCTACTTGAGCCGCAATGAACACCAAGCCTTTGTCAGCCTTGGGCCGATGATAGAACCACACGCTGAATAGTTTGATTGGGGGTTTGGGGTTCCAGGGTGTCTTCCATGGGGGTCGGGGGGTTGCTGCCGGTCGATAAGGCCCGAGGTCAAGCCGGCAAAATCCGACGGTGCTCAATCCAAGGCCCGGTGAACTGGCGTTTGGAGTCTGCAATCGCATTCTACTACTAGACAGACTAAGCGAGACCCAGCAGTATTTCGTGACAGGCTGGCCGAGGGGGGCCCCGGAAAGGACAGCGGTATCAGCGACGAGTCGAGACCACCATTCAGCGACTTCAGATGACTGTGCGTCAGCCACAGACCGTCCCTTGATTCGAATTCGCTGACTCTGGCACCGGTTAGTCGAGTTGCTTTTCTGCTGCATGCCGCCTTGGTGCTCTGGCTATCAAGTAATTAAGGAGAAGAAGCTGAAAAAGTTCATGATTCCGAAGTTGCAGTTCGCCAAGGTTGTCCGAGGTTTGCTGCCCGAGGATTTCAGGATCTCTGCTGACGGCTTGCTGGCTTTGCAAACAGCCGCCGAAGATGAAGCACATCGCGTTTTGAGCTGCCTGGCTACATTGGCCGAGTCATCTGGGCGTCAGGAGCCACTTGCCCGAGACGTTGTGACCATGAAGAAAATCCTTCAGTTGGCACCGAGCAGCGAGACAGTGATTGAAGCTCGGCCCGAGAAGGAGGTGAAGGTCAGATGTGGCCCGAAGAAGACCAAGGTGAAGACCGAGCAGACTGTCGTTAAGGCCGACATAAAGTCCGAGACAAAGGTCAAGCGTGAACTTGTCTCTGGCCCGGGGTCGCATGTCACGAAGCTCCAGCCCGAGACGTTCTTGCTGAGTCAGCGCCGCAAAGGCACGCAGCAGGTTAAGAGTGAGCTGTGAGCCCGAGTGTAACTAGGGGGCTGGTCACAAGTCCGAGAAGCTGCTGGTCTTCATCTTCTTTTGAAGAGGGTTTTTTTTTGCCGCAACCACTGCATTCCGTCATTATGATTGATTTCCACAGTCCGAACAACACACCTCTACAATTTCAGGCGAAACCCAAACCCTTGAAACAAGTCCAAGACGGTCTGCAGTTGCGAGTCCGAGGGCGAGGGGAAGAGTTGCACAGCCAGGGGTGTGCGTGTGCGTAGAAAAATGACAATCATTCCGAAACAGAGTTTGCTTTCCTTTGGCATTGTGCTGCAAAGTCGTCTGCCATTCAGCAGCTGCTCCGGTGGCACCAGGATCTGCTCAAAGCCACGTACAGCCCGAGGTAGACATGACGTGGGGTCGATGTTTTCAGCAGGCTGCCGTGGAATCGGGTGCGAGGTGGCCTCCTGGGCTGCGCATTGCCACCGATTGCTCGGGGTTGGAGGTGCGTTGTCTGGTCAGTGTTTTAGATCCTGAATCTGAAGCTGCACCGTTCTCGATTCATTCGGATCCTTGTCATTGTCATTGTACACCACGGCATAAATCCAGGAGAGCAGCTGAGCATCATTTTGCAGCAGGCACCGCTCTGGGCACTGGCTGCGCTGCAGTGGCAGTCCGAGCATGTCAGCTCGTGCGACTCAGCGCCCGAAGCACGCCTTGTCATCGAGGCCAACCGTGGCCTGGCAGCAAGTGAAAACAGGAGAAGCAAACCCCTGATCGATTAAAAGTTCCATTGCGCGCAGACAAGCCACGCATCTTCTGCGACGACATTCTCAAGCGCCGGCCCGAGGAGATGCCCGAGTTTGATATCTACACCTGTGGTTTCCCGTGCCAACCATATTCATCCGTTGGGGGCCGAAAGGGCTGGTCCGATGGCAGGTCTGCTGTGTTGCATTTCGACTGCAAAATATCATGTTTCAAGAGACATGTGAAATGCATCCATTGGCATACAGATTTTCTGGGATCGGCAATTCTAGTCTAAGGCTTGCGGCACTGCGCACGATTTCTGTGAGAAAGCCGATCTTGGCAGTCCTAGAGAACGTCTGTGGGCTGAAGGCGTTCATGACAGGTGTGGTCCAGCGATTGACCAAGTTCGTTGCTGGAGACTACCAAGTTGTCGTCGTGCCTGGTCCAAGATCTTGTGATACATGCAGCCGCATGGCGGGATGTCTATTTTTCTACGTGAGTCTCAACTCTAGTCCAGCTAAGTTGGAGTTCGACGCTGTCGTGCTGGGAGCAGCAACGAGAAGGCCGAGGTTGTGGTTCCTGCTGATCAGGAAGGATTCGCTTCGGGTGGACGATGCCGTGGCCGCTGTGTCCGAGCTCTTCCCCAAGCTTGTGAAGGCAGGTGCTGCGTTGCCCGAGAAAATTTCGAACTTGGACCAGGGTCGCTTGCCTCAAACTTCGCAGCCGAATTCACATGAATGAACATGACGGGCGGCAGTTTTGAGCAAATCTGGAATCTGAGGCGCAAAGAACTTGAATCAAAGGCAGAAAGAGGTCTTGCACGGCAGCGCCAAGCATCGAGTGCAGTACCAAAGCTTCTTTGTCGATGTATCTCAGAGCAAGGAGTTTGCGCGACATGGAGTTGGACACAGTCCGACGTGGAAGACATCCTCCGCCATGGCTATGCTGAAGGCTGGCGCTTCCGTGACGTCGGCCGGCATTCTCTCAGCCCGAAGTGGCCTTGCCTTCAGCCGACAATGTGGTAGGTTTTTAGTACATGGGCCACTGCAATCTTTGTGTGTGTGTGTGTGT